AATGTATATAGCACTGCTAGAAAGAGATACTTACCAATGTGGGATGAGATAAGGAACCACTTTGTGGCCGCACACTGAAGCCACTGTGACAATGTGACCATGATTTCTCTTCATCATTGATGGAAGAAAGGCTTTTACGATCTTAAGGATAATCGCAGTGAGAAAAGAAACAACACCACAAGCATTATGTTTCCAAATCAGGTAGTTTTATATTTGCAATGAAATGAAAAGCATGCCAAAATTCCATAATTACTTCTATACAAATGATAGAAATTAAAAAGACAAACATTTTATTGGTTTGAGCTGACATTGAGTGCCATGTACTATAACCACATGTCAAGAACCCATTCTAATATTCCCCCATCTTCCTTCAGAAGGAATCAAAGAGCTCCTTTTTGGATATGGCATTCAAACAATATTAAGGGAAACATTTCAGAGTCCTCAGAACTGGAAGAATTCCCTGTGATAATCTGATACCATGTAATTTCTTGGTTTGGAGCTTTATCATTCCAGTTAGAAGAGTTGAAATTCTCTGTACCTGTATCAAGACAGCTGAGTCAAATAAACTAAGAGTTCTGCACTGACCTACAGTCACTATGCATCATGATTAGCTTTAGGATCTCCCTATTTGAAATACTGTGCATTATATATTGATGTTACAGGAAACAAAGTGTTTCTTTTTCTCCAAAAAGCTTTACTTTTTTGTGAGAAATAGCAACATTTTCTGAGCATTTTATAGACCCATCCTTGGATCTTATTTCATGAGAGTCAGAACCATCAAACCACACCACCCCTAAATTCCTAACCCCCAGAAACTGTGAAAAGAAAATATTTATTGTTTTTCTAACCACTGAGTTTTGGTGTAATGTGTTAGCAGCTATAGATAACTGATATATGAGGACTCCATAGAGTTTGTTGGGCATGATAACCAATTCACACATGTGTGAGGGGCTGAAGAAGGTAGGGGACAACTCTTTTTTCCTTCTCTCTTCCAGAATACAGATTTGCTCTAGGTTCTACGCTAATATTAAAGCACTGGGAGATTAATTTGTATAATGCTGTCTACCAAGGGAGAGGAAATTCATATTTCAGTCTCCTACAAAACTAATGAATTAGAAGAGGTCTGTATAGCCATATTTCTAAGTTTCAGCATCCCATGGATATAGAACTTGTCTAGAATCCCATCGAGAAGTATCCCAAATTCCTGCATAAATCTGACTGGTGGTTTTTTATGTCCTTTTAGTTCTAAAATTCCATGAAGTGAGGACTCAGTAAACGTACACCATACGTATTTCCTCTAAACCACTGAAAAGATGTACACTGACAACCCTTAGCAAAATTCTACCCTCAAAGCTTTATAGAAAAGAGACAGCTAGTAGGAACCAAACTTCTACTATTAATTCCTGATAGCTAATTAGATTTTTGTTGGAAACGTTGCTATTTCTGATTTTTGATCTTTTTGTCATTCTTTTTAACTCAAGTGATATTTTTCTCATTTAGACTGATTCATTCCCTGACCACCTTACCAAACAAACATTACTTCCTCTACTTTCCCTTGAAATAATAGTGTGTTTTGTTGTTAGATGCCATCAAGTCGATTCCAACTCATGGCGACCCCATAGTGTCAGAATAGTCTATAAAATGATTTGAACCGCTGGCCTTTTGGTTAGCAGTGAAGCTCTTAACCACTGTGCCACCAGGGATCCTCTTATAAAAGCAGCATGTGCTTATTGTTTAAAAATTAGGAAAAAAGAGAAAATTAAAATAATGCCACTATTCTAAAACAGGGGGAGTCCCTGGGTGGCACAAACGGTTAAGTATGTGCTACTAACCAAAAGGTTGGAAATTCAAACCCACCCAGAAGTACATCGGAAGACAGGCCTGGCAATCTGCTTCCAAACATCACAGCCTTGAAAACCCCATGGAGCAGTTCTACTCCACACATATGGGATTGCAATGAAATAATACTAGCTAATATTTATTGATGACTGTTCTAAGTGCTT